AGATTGATACAGTTAAAAAATGTTATCTGATGCTGAGGTTGGAATTTGCCTGCCAGTGAATGGAGATACTGACTTAGAGCACTGCCTGCACAGCACAAAGTTCTGTAAGTGTTTAGTCACTCCTTGGGTCATTTCCTTCCTCACAGCTGGAGATTAAAGAGGAGGAGATTTGAGCAATGTTTCTCAGCCAACTGAAGTAAACTCTGGAATCCCTGCAAAATGTAAATTGTCAGCTGAGCTTTATTGATAATCAGTATTAAGTGAATGTGATGGCACTGAGGTCTGACAGCATAACTTCTTGCAAACTGATGAAATATTAGCCAGTGAATGTTTCCTAGCATCCACAAAATACATCATCACTGCCTGCTCATACACATCCTGACATGAATCATTGAATTGCAGTATCAGTCACTAGTGGTGATCTATTTTTTTTTGTAAAAATTGTATTCAAAAATGTAATCAATGTAAGCTTCCTCTGACAAATAGTCCCTTAGAAACTCTATGGAGAAAATAATTAGGAAAAAAGAATTAATGTTACTTTAAATAAGTGTATTTGTTCTCATCTAAACCCTCTCGTTTGTTTATTATTATTTGCTACTGTTTCCAAAGATCTGAATTTCTTTATGTCCCTATAGATGTCAGTTGCATTCTGCAACAGCTTCTGACTTCCTTTCTTATGTGTCCATCACATGGGAAAAACAAACTCTTTCCCAAATTTGGATTTATGACAGAAATCAGGAGGATGGTAACTAACCACAGACCTTTACAGCTGGGGAAGTGGTAGTGACCTAGGATCTGCACTTGAAAAAACAAAAAAGGGATAAACTGTCCTTCCCCAATGACTACTTTAAAAAAGACCCTAAATTTTCTTCTCCTGCCAATATGATGAGTAGTATAAGAATAATTTAAATTTTCATTGGAAGTTAGTTTCTTACATCCTCTCATGAGTCTGGTACTAAAGGGCAGATGTCATCAACTACTGAGCAGTGATTATGAACAGTGTGTGGTGGTATTTCTTAACCTCTCAGTTTTGCAAATTTTATAGCTTGAACAAAGTATCAGTGACATAACTTAGGACAACAGAAACCCAACAATGGGTATGACCTGATCGTATTTCGGGTTATGCACGTTCTTGGACTTGTTCTGTGCTTACCCTGCTGCTGTGCATCCCTGGGGGTACACATGGAGATAATTGGAGCAGCCTGATGAGTAGCTGAGAATGGAGTGAGCCTCTGACAGATAGACCAGAGATCACAGCTAAGGTTCCTCAAATTAAATTCACTTTCCATCCTGCCCAAGCCCACCAAACTTGTTACTTGAATGCTTCAAAGACTGGTTCCATTGCTGGTACATGGAACATCTATCAGTACATCACACCTTTCAGAACCAGAGAGTGAAACACAGCCAGCCTGATGAATCACCCTGCATTCCTAAAGGGCTGTGACTTACTCGAAATAAAATCAAACCCAGTGACGCAAGTTTCAGCCTGCACCATAGATCAGTCTTTATTTTGCAGGAGACACTTGAAGCACATTAGGACTTGACATGCACTGCTGTGTGTTTAGCCATAATTAGTAAATCATAGTGCTTGCTTTCTTCTGATGAGAAAGGTATTTTCAACAACTCCACATCTCTGTTTCAAAACTGACAGAAATCGGTTTCTGTGTTGTTTCTATCTCTTCTGGATCCTTCAAAAATCCTTCCCTTCTAAATTATCACTGAAAATGTAACAAGTACAATATATATGGTATTCACCTTTTGAGCTTTTCTAATAGACTATTGTTTCTGATACTGTACTTTATTAAACACTTTACTACAAGCTACATTAGTGTGCTGCTTTTGGCTGGGGTAGAGTTTATTTTCTCCACAATAGCCACTATAGGGCTGTGTTTTGGATCTGTGTCGGAACACAAATGTGTTGATAACACAGGGACGTTTTAGCTCCTGCTGAACAGAGATTGCACAGAGCCAAGGCCTTTCCTGCTCCTCTCCCCACCCCTGAGGAGGCTGGGGGTGCACAAGAAGCTGGGCAGGGACCCAAGCAATGTCCCAGACCATGTGATGCCATACTTGATGTGTAAAGCTGGGGAAGGAAGAGGAAGAGGGTGTTCAAAGTGACAGTGTTTGTTTTGTTTTCCTGAATAACCCTTACTTACGGTGGAGCCCTGCTTTCTTGGAGATGGCTGAACACCTGCCTGCCTATAGGAAATGTGAATTTTTCAAGTGGTTTGCTTTCATGCCCAGCCTTTGCATTACCTATTAAACTGGCTTTATCTCAACCTGTGAGTGTTGTGCCTTTCCCCCTTGTGATCTCTGCCCCATCACTCTGTGGGGGGAGTGAGGGGCTGTGAGGGGCTGAGCTGCCAGCTGGGGTTAAAGTACAAGAAGCAGTACAAGGCTGCTGTTGTGTGTCAAAGAAAATGCATCTTTTCTATCTTCTGCCCAGTTTTTTGAGGCTGTCCAGCACCACGGATCCACAGCAGCTCACTGCCATGCAGAAATGGTTGGAGTACTACAGGGATGCCCTTCTGAGAATGTTACATGCAGCTACAGCACCTGGTGGCTGAGTTAACTGGATTCACAGGGCTTTAGTAGCCTCCAGCCACATTGCAACCAAGTCCCAAATCTTTTACCAGGTATGTCCCACACATTTCACTTAAAAAGATCCTTGTCCAAGCCTACCCAGGTTTTGACTTTTCAAGCTTTGACTGAAGAAATATGTAAAAACAAAACTTCAAACATGCGGGTTCCTCAGCACAAAATAGCTGCAAAACATGCTTTTATCTGCTTCACTTCAGCCTGACATTGCTCTATTCCCACCCTAAACCACACCTTGCAGGATTGGTAAATATATGTAACCAAAGAATGAAACTACAAGTGTATGAAGAATAAAAACAGAGTAGGAAGCAAAATATACATGGTAATGAATAAAAATACATAAAATATACAGGAAAATATGTCACTTTGCTAAGAAATAATATGAAGATGTGAATCAACATATTAAAACATTAGTTATTTTAGAGCCTTAAGAACACCTGTAAGAGCAGTAAAGCCCCACCTTGACTCGCTCTGGGGGTATTACAGACAATTTCCAGGCACTGTTTCCTCTCATGTGCTCAGCTGTCCTGGGGCTGAGCAGGCTGGGGGTGCCTCAGGGCCCTGTGTGTGACACCCACAGAGCTGAGCGGGGCTCGTGGCACAGAAAGGGTGCAAGGAACTGACAGAGGCACAGCAAACAATTCCCAGGAGCATTCTACCTTTACATAAAACCCAGGCAGTCAGTCTCTGGATTTGCCCAAGGGATTGTGATGGCCTAGCTACCTATCTAATCTGCCTGAAAAGCAGGAAAAGGCATTAGTTAAACACAGGAAATGCAGCTCTGTGCCCCCGGGGGCTGCCAGGACAAACACTCTGTTACCTGATGCTCGGTCACAGCCAGGGTGCCCACAGATGAGGAGCCTCGGCCAGCGGCTCCTCAGAGCCTCGGCACGGCCCAGCCACCGACAGCAGCGGCCCCAGGGCACGGCAGGGCGGCCGGGGCACTCTGCTAACCACGGGAGTAACATTTGCTTCCTGCTTTGGCAGGAAGAGCCAGAGAACATGAGTGGAAGCCTTGAGGCCCCTCTGCCTGGCCCTGAGCCCTTGGGGCACCAGAAGAACGTCTGTGTGGCAGGCGAGGAGCAGGGACCTGCTCTGGGACAGCGGTGGCCAGGCAGGGCTCCCGCAGGTGGCCTCTGTGCTGGGCACTGGGGGCCTTGAGCTCCTCCCTGCTTCATCCTGTGGCACGGGTGGCCTGGGTGTCTCTGAGGGCTTTTCACCGAGTGCCAGCCGTGTGAGGCTGTGGAGCGGTGCCCAGCGATGAGGGGCGCCAGCGGTTAGCAGGTTTTACAGTGTCACGTTGTGTGTGGCTGTGGAGGGGTTCCCAGCGAGGAGAGGTTCTGTGAGTTATCAGGGGCAGGTATCTGTGTATTATCACGTATTATCTGCAGTGTGCCCACTGCTGTCTGAGGGGACGGGTGTGCAGCCACGGGCTCTGGTGTGTTCAGGCCGCTTCCTCCCTTGTGCTTCTGTGTGGCAGCTTTCTGCCAGGGAAAAGGGGTGCAAACGCTGTTTTTCCTGCAGGTCCCAACTGAGCTTGAAGCTAGAGTTGCCTTTGGAAAAGTTCATTTTGGCTTTGTAATGTTCTACTGAAATTAATTGACGACAAGAAAAGTTATAATCCTATAAGGAATAGATACAATCCCAATTTAAGAAAGATACAAGACCTAAAACTAATTCACCAGTCTCTTCAAGAAAAATCAGAACTTCCTTTTCTCAACTCTAAGGTTTTTCTGTTCTTGTTAATTTGTGTGCCACTGCAGACCTTCTCTTTAGGACAAGCTAGAGTTGATTTGAATGAGCCTGCTGGCTCTGAGTTCCTGCCAGCTCTAGGGAAATACCAATTCCTGCTGAGCTTTGAATTTTTACTTCTGGTTTTAGTAAATTAATGAAACTTTCCATATTGTTCCCCTCTTAACATAGTGCAGAAAGGTTTTGCTTCAAGGAAATGATACTGATGAGCTGAAAGATAGGAAACTGCATCTGTTGCAGTGTGGATTCCACAAATCTTTAATGACAAGAGTTTTGTGAAGTTTATGGAATACTTGAGGAAAAATACAGGATATTTAATAAGAAGTTGCTAATACCCTAACTTAGGGAAACAGTGATTACAGGCTGCACTCTGCCTCCCTGGGCTTCAGATGGGATCCACCTGAATACTGAATACTGGCACCTCGTCTCAGAACAGGGAAGGCTTGCCAATGTGCCTCTTACGCATCTTAACAGACTGCACAACTAGGGCAAATAGCTCGTGCAGGTCTCCCTTAGGAGGGTGAGTTATATGGACAGGGTAAAGACATTATTTACCCTGAAATTAGTATCTAATAGCTTGTGAAACTAGACAAACCATTCCTCCCAAAAAACAGGCTAGAACCAAGCTGACTTCATTATGAACACACACATCAGTATTTTTTGTATTTTATTAAATTAAAACCACACAAAATTTAACTGCACACAAGAACACACAATGTCATATCTCACAAAAAAGCCCTTTTGCGTAACTCGTCCCTTTTATGAGTAGAAATCCAATATGCAAACAGTTCTTTAACCAAAAAGGCTTTAACTAATCAAAACAAGCTGAATTCCCCTTTCTAGGAATACATCATAACCACACACAGACACACACAAGGTTCACAGGCAAGTTCTGCAGCCCTGAAGTAGACAAAACTTTCACAGCAAACTTGCCTATGTTTGCAGAATAAGTAAATTTCTATTACTTTCATAATTTGTCATTTACAAGCAAACTTATTTAATATTTTTAAATACTTAAAACAAATTTCACTTTAACAAGTATTTACAAAATCTTTACTAAAGATCAACATCCTGCATAAAGGTGACCTCAGGGATATATAGTTTCTACCATGCTACAATTTGCACAGAAGGGGTAAAAAGGCCATTGCTAGTTTTGGAAGGCTTAAACCTTTTATTGATATAGCATAAGGACATTAACCTATGGAAGGCAGAAGAGGTCATAATTTCAGTGCAATTACCCATTCGTGACTTCTTTTAAGTACATCAAGAGGATGAGTCCAAAAGACTTGGGTTTTGAATTATTGACTGTTTAGTTCTGTAAGAACTGATTTCATGGAAAGTTTTCAGGCCATCACAGCTGTCTTCTACTGGTGATAGGAAGAAGTTGCATAGGGACCTTCCTCATTCTCCTCATCTCTAAAAAGAAAATGATCATAATCATCAGGTCAGGAGCATACCAAGTCTCAACAGTAAAACTGGAATGAAAATGCAGGTGACCACTTTTCCTAGTCTACCAAAATTGGCAATGCCTGCCTTGCCTAACAGGAATATTTGCAGTATACTGTAATTAAAGTCTCTGGAGTTCCTGAGATGTCAAAAACATAATGCTGAAATCAAGTAAAGCTGTGTAAATTCAACAACATCAGAATGTATTTTTAAAAGCATTCTTGATCATATCATTAAGGTTAACAAGGTGGAGGGCATGCTGGAATTCCTGCACTGTTGCTTTTGATTTCTTCTTTTAAAAAAGTAAAGCTTAGTTAGAGGGTTGTTTCAACATTCTGAATGACAGGAGGGACAGACAGACCAAATGAAGCAAGAACAGGAGCAGTTCATCATAGCTGTGGGTGTCTGGATGCTGCAAGGCCATTCCTGATGTGTACTTCCCTTGCATCAATACCCATTGAGACTGATCACTTGGATTTTCTTAGGAAAAAGCAATTGCTCCCAAGTGCTACTGTTAATGCAATAACTGGATAAAGCAATGTTGCTTTTAAAATATCCTCAGGAAAATCAGTCTGCCTGCTGTTTACCTGACAATATTGCCTTTAAAAATAGGGGTTATGCAAACCTATTGCAGTGCAGCATCCAGTACTAAATCAAGGATGCCAAGTTCCCCAAAGGTCATTGCTTTGTACTAGTGAAGCTTCAAAGTTTTGTTCCTGAAAGTCCAGCCTTAAAGCTGCTGCCAAGTTCAGTGTTTTGTAAGAACAGAAGGACTTTACAGCTGCTACACTGTGAAAGGATTACTTTTAATACTGTATGTACCTTCAAACAAAGGTACAGCAATTCAAAGAGTTTAATAATGGTATAAGGTAAAAAGTAAATATTTCAGTATCAAAACCATGAAGAATTTTCCCTAATAAACATGATTATTTATCTACAATTTAAATTTCATATAACCCCCCAAAACAGAACTGAAGAACCCTACAAACTAACCAAACAGCAGAGTAACTTGCACTTGTCTTACCAGAAAAGTTATCATCTTAAGTCAAAGCCGTATGTCTTTTGCCTTGAAATAATCTTGCCAAAGAAAGAAATCTCAAAAAAACAAGTTTGGGATGAAACTGGTTGTTATGACAGTGTTATGGATGTGTGGTTACAGTAATACTGAGATTTTTTGCCTTCCTTAAAAATCCACATCTATTTACATTAATGATGCTACCAACCCAGTACCAAGAATGCAGATGATCTGTATACGTTTAAATAATATCCTTCGTTATATCCAGTTCTGCATCCAACACTGCCATGGAATACTATCAGTTTAATAACATATCATTTGCACAAGCTTTCCATGATATGTGGCATGACAGTAAAGTAAGAAAGCAAATAAATCATGTTTAGTTGAAAAAGCACTAAACCACTTTTACTTATAAATTCTCTCAAGACACTTAAAGCTTTTTTTTCAGAATTGAATCCTATCAACATACCAAGCTTGTAAGACTGGACTGCAGGACTGTAAAACTCAACCATAACAACTTGGCCAAAGTTAAGTATTTCGAAGAGTACATTCTGAAGCCCCAACATATGCCCTTCTGGAGCAACAGCTCTGAAGAACCTATTTGCAAATAGCAATTTCCTGCTAGCTTGTGTGAAGATGAAGGAGAACTTTGTTATTTTCAGAGCTTAGACTCCAGTGGGGGAGAAACTTACTTTCTGTGTTCTACACTGGTAATTACTTTGTACTACTTAGTTTTGTTGTTTCCCATTTTAGGAGAATAAAATGTGTCAGAAATACTTTCCTTCTAATCAAAGGCTGCTAGAAACAGATTTTCACTCATTCTTCTTGAAAGCCATATAGGAATACCATCCATCCTGACATGGCAACAGCTAAACACTGGACTGAAATGAGTTAATTATGGGTGAACACAGACAACTGAAGAGCTGAAATAATGATGTTGTATTAGCCAGCCTGCAGACATCCAAGTACCAAAACCACTGCCTAGGATGTTTGCCCCCACCTCCCTTGTGCAAGGTGCCCTCAGATACGGGTGGCAGTTGTCAGCAGAGGGCAGAAGGCCAGCACTGGGGTTATGACCAGCTTTCAGGGGCTTCTCAACAGGGCAGGGATGTATGTTATGCTGGAACTGAAGCAAAGCAGTGACCGGTGTAATATGCAAAGTACATTGCTGACCAAGGCTTGGAACTGCTCTGCAAGAACAGCTTCTGCTCTTCTGTCCCAGGCTGCAGTGCCAGGCTCTAGGAGGTCTGCAACACTACCCCAAACCAGGGTAACGACCAGGAAATAATACTCATGTAGATCTTAGAACCATACATAGGAAGTAAAGTCTGTTCTGATGCCTCAAAAACAAGCTGAGCTTTATATGAAATAAAATTATATAGTACTAGTAGCTCTGGTCTGTGACCCACAAGCACCACCATGGCAGTGTGTGTATGTTTAATGATCAAACAATTTACTTCACTTTTAAGATGCTTAAAATAACAAAGTGGTAAGTCATAGCAACATTCTCCTTCAGGGGATGGAAAAGGAACAGCACAGCATTACAACACTCTGTAGTGCTGTCTCTTCCTGTTTGCTGTTGCTGCTTTGCCCACTGGGTTACAGGAACTGAAAGAAGTCTCCTGCAAGCTATGGTGTGCATTAGGCCACAAATAACCACTTCTGTAATAGCAAGGACACCTGACTGTGAGCAAGTACATTCAAATGCCTGGATGCTTCTAGAATGCACAATTAAATAAGGCAGCAATCTGAGTTGTTAGTTTTGGGATGTCTGGAAGGATTCTCCACAGTCAGTCTCCTTTATTGAGGCATCTCTTTCCTCAGCTGATAGCCAATGAGGGTGAAAAGTTATTGTGCAATTTTGTAGATATGGTTCTCACCACCTGTCAAATCAGGCTCATAGTATGGTGAGAATTTATGGCTCTTTAAGTTCATGAACTGATAGTCTGCTTCTGCTTGCAGTTTTGTGAGTTCCAGTGTCCCTTCTGGTGGCAGTGGATTAACTAACTCCAGGTGCTCCTTTGTTACTCTCAAGCAGGCATGGAAGTACTTAGCAGTGTTGGCACATCAAATTCTAAGCAGGCCTTGACAAGGAAACCTGAATACAGGCCAGAGCAGCTGGAAACAGCACTCTAATATCATAAATGGTTTTCACTAAGAATAGAAAACTTGCATATTCATGAGGCTGGTTTATTAACATGGCTGTCCAATTTCCAAAGGCTTCCTGCTCCAAGCAAGGGACACGAAAGGACTGGGCAGGAAGGAGAACAGGTGCCTTCTGGGGAGCTGCTGGAGCACAGTAAGGAATGTTGCCACCTTCCAGTCTGGACTCAGATATACCATTGATGGTACACAGCTGAAAAGTATCTCCAAGGTTTTTGGCAATGGTCTCTCTCTACTCCTGTTCTCTACAGAGTGAACACTGACTTTGGTCCTTTGCCCCTTTCTGCCAGACTGCAAAGGGGTCTGCCCTTTCCAACTGTTCTGGAGAGGACAAGGCAAGGACGGCTTTTGTGAGACATAACTGAAAGCCAGGGGCAGTGATGTAGAAGGGAACATGAAGACTATCAGATACACAGCAAGATATTTCTCTTCAGAAGCTTTGGGCAACATCCTACTCAGCAGACTGCCTGCAGCATGAAGCTCTGTGCTTCATGCTTCCTGTAACATCCTGACCAATAAAAATCTGTTGCATGCATACAATTTAGGTGAATTAGAAAACACAAAAATAGAATTACCTGCTAAGTCTGAACATGAGGTGGGAAAATAACTCATCCTCCCGTATACATTATATCTTGGGAGGTGACATGGTACCACACCCCATTTCCCAATTTGTAACTGAAGCAGTATTGAAAATGGGTATTAGTGGCAGCAGTGTATTATTTGTGTAGTCATTTCCACTGCATTGGCTCTGCTCATGGTGCCACAAGGTCTATGTGAATTTCCTTCTTTAAATTAGCATGCTATTTGTTGAAGGGATGATAAAAAAATTGCCTTCCTCTGGCAGGGGCTGTGGTTTCCTGTTATGCAGTTTAACTGCTGGGTCAACACCTACTCTAATCTGTGGTAGGTACATACATCTAATGATCTCAAAGTCAGCAGCAGCATATTTTGATAGGTGCTCTATGTTGCTTCAAATATAACAATGGAAGTGGGTGAGTTTGCACAGAGAAGGTTCTGCGCTCGAACAGCTATTTTTCCTTTCATGCAACCAATTCAAAAGAAAGTAACTGACAGATGTGATAACAAGATGTGAAAGCATTCCAGCCTTCCCTGAGACTCTAAACCAGTGTCCTGGCAATGGAGAGTTGTATGTGGGGATATTTCTCCAAAGGAGGCTTGTCCAATAGCTAAATACATTATACTGTTCTCCTTCAAACTTTTGTCTGCTGAACAAAGTTTTAAAGTTGCTGAAATAATTTCTTAGTTTAAAGAAATTATACAAATCTATACTCAATAAATTTGGTCCTGAAAGGCTACCTTCTGCTTGCCCTCAAAATCAGAGTATGTGAAGTGAACCGAGATGGTGGGTGAAGTTTTGCATTGAACAAATTTGCAAAAGCAAAGCATGTATCTGCAGGCATAACTTCTCTCCAGCTTCTCTGGTAAGAGAAGCAGTACCAGTCCCCTGCAATCATACCTTTAATTGTGAGAAGGACCACCTCAGCATCCCCCACTGAGGGGATTTCTGCAGGGAATAAACAGGCAGACAGCCAGCCCAAGAGACTGACTGTGAACAAGCTGAGGAAGCTTGTCCCAAGGACATGGAAAACAAACACTACTCAAGTTTTGTTCTGAGTTTTTCTGTACTTCATAGGATACCTACATATGTGAGGGGATATGTGCCGCTGTTGTGGCACAGAGGTCACAAAGTACTGTTTTTCTGTAAGTATATATGTGGGAGCTCTTGGCTGTGGAAATACTGAAGAAAAGATGAAGTCTGCATAGGTGGATCCACAAAATGGGGGACTGCATAGGGAAAGGAGTTAAGAAAACTTAAACTGCCTCCTGAAGAATATTTACACAATGAGGCAATTTGGGACAGAAGAAAAATAGAATCATACTTTGGTACACACAATCAGCTTCCTCACAGGCCCTTGCTTAGCACTCTACCAAACACTGTTTTGGCTTAAATAATTGCCAACTTACACAGCAAGACATCTTGGAGAATCCTGGCCTGGCTTTTATGAAATAGTATAGACATCTTGGAGAATCCTGGCCTTCTGGCTTTTATGAAATAGTATTTGTATTCTCTAAAAACTGTGCTGTGAGGCAGCCTTTCTAACTGCCATAGCAAGGCACCTGCTAATGCTGTGCTCTGAATCTACCTGGCGCATGAGAATAGCAGGCACTTGCTGCTGACAAATAAATTTCACAGATGCTGTCTGAGACCCCACAAAGAGGGGTCAGCTTAGACTACAATGCCTTCAGGGTGAGATTAAATTGCTTAACACCAAAAGCGGCATTTACCTGACACTGTCATCTTTTAGCTTTCTGGCTGCTTGTTTGGATAACTTAATCTGCAAGTCCAATCTCTGTAGGAAATCTTTGGCAGATAATTCTTCTGGTGCAGTGGGCTGATTGTCAGGCTCCTGGGGACTGGGAGAAGAACTACTTTCTTCCTGAACTGCCACTAGTCCTTCATCACAAGAAGGGGAGCTGTCAACAGTTTCGTTCTCAGGAGACTCCAGTGAATTAAGTCCATTGAACAGTAATGGTTTCTCTGATATAACCGGAATATTAAGGGTTTTCCTCAGAAATATACAGTCATTAGTGAACAGTTTGTTTGCCCTCTTTATTTGTTCCATCTGAAAAAGATAGAAAAAAATATAAGTTATTAGGTTTTGGCAAAGTATAAAACACTAACTTTCTGAAGTAGTATACAACCTTTAGTTAAAAGTAAATCTCTACTTTCTTTGCAGCAGCAATTATTTCAGGAAAGAATTTGTTTGCATTCAAAATGGTTTCAGAGTGCATATTCTGTTTCAGCCTTACTAACCTCCTAGCTTTATGTGCACTTGACTGCACAATACTGCTTTTTCCAAAGTCTTGCACTACCTAAAGATGCTTTCCTTGAAGCCTTACAGTCTCTATGCAAACTCACAGGAATAGCCTGCCAGTGAACTAAAACTCCTAGTACTGTTACTAGTTACTGTTACTAGTACAGAGCACCATTTGAAGGGCAAAAAGGAAGCTTTACCTGACGCAGTCATGAGACCTCAAATGGCTCCAGTGTAAATGTCAATTGTTAAAAGCTCTATAAGTCTGTCTTCATGGGTGTAAAAAAAGTTTAAAATAATACCTGGAGCTTTTCTGTAGAAATACAATACAGAAGGCAAAAACTGAGATCCTACTGAAGGGGAGTTGGAAGGTGATGTTTCAACAGCTGATAAATAATGCAGTACACTGCTATTCTCTCTCCTGTTTCACTGTAACTCTACCTCTGGTTATTTCTTCCCAAAATACAGTTCATAGCATTTGGAAGCCTGTACCTTTGCACGGAGCAATAATGAAAAGGAAAGTACTTGGTTCTAAAAAGAACATCCCTCAGCCCTGAGCAGGTTACTTCATATGTGCAGTGTAACTCCTACAACTCAGTGTGACTCTGTACATTCAGAGGTGTATGGAGAGAGGATTTAACAAGAGTTTTCTTCTTTTAGTGCTAGGAAGACTGAAGTAATGCCTGTTAGCTACAAATCTATTGTAGTGAGAGCAAAAGCTTCAGCACATGCTTAATATTTTAACTGAAGCTGTAAACTGGTCCTGAACTAATTAATCAAAACTGCTTTTACTGACAATGAAATATAGTCCTCATCCTTCTCCCCTGAAAAGGGATACAGCACTTGCACTGAACCATAAATTGGCTGAACCATAAACATGAATTCCTAGTGTTAATTTACTTAAAAGGAAAATACAACAAATGCAAGTTGTAAAGATTAATAGACAGTATCCAGGGGAGGGGATGAAGGGCAGAGGATGAGGCCAAGCAAACCACACTGACCCCTCCTCCCCAGCATGGTATTTTTATCTATCTTGAACTCTCTATGCCAAGTCATGCAAAGGCAGACTGGACAGGATGTCTCTGGCTACAAAGCAATTCCCAGTGAGGAAAACCACAAGGGGAAACTTCTAAAACCAGTAATACTGGAGGCAGTGGCAGCCAAAGATAATTCTGATGTTTCCATTACAACTCTCTCTTCCAGCCAAGAATACACTATGCAGGAAAGAAACAGAAGCATTATTTAGGGGAAATCAGTCCTTGTCATTGTGTGAACACACAACAGTCTGCATTTTGCTAAAAGCAAATGTGTTTGCATACATGCCTACCCTGGGCTGAAACCCATTAAAACAGAAACACAATGGCTGATTTCACTGAATTTGTCATTGCTCTGAGGGGCATTTCATGTCAGTTTAACCTCTTTCAACTGCAGTCTATAATGATGCGGATCTGGCTTCTTAAACAGAACACTTATCAAATTATGAGATGTTTGGAAAAAGCCCCAACATATATATCTAACATCATTAGCACAGCAAAAACTTATCAAACTCATATTATAAACAAAGTTTATGGTTTACAACTTAGAGCTGTTTGTACAGGTTTGATTCACAACTTCACTTTTGCTGAAAGGTTTTTTTCCTAAACATTACTATTTTAGTGATTTGTTTGTATTTTTCATTTATTGGAGTAAGAAAACACTTCTCAAGAAGAGTAACATGACTAAAAACTTTTAGGCCAGAGACTTTGTCCATTATGGAAAGTCCTGCAAAAAACAAGCAAAAAAAATCTAACAGCCAGTGAGCTGCTTTGCCCTCTTAGTGAGCAAAAGTTTACTTTAATGTGGACCAGTGTCATTAACCCTGCTGCCAACAAGAATCAGTCAAAACTGGTGTAATCTTTCAAAAGAGAAGAGAACTAGACTTTCAACTTTTTTCACAACCAAGACTGAAAGGTGATGGAAGGTTTTAGTCGATCTTTCAGGCCAACAAAAGGCAAAGAAGCTACTCCAGTCAGAACCTAATAGTTTAGGACTACACTGTAGCTCTTCTAGAAAGAGCCCAACTGGAAGGTGCTGTTTGCAGCTAATATCAAAGTGGCACTGGCTGTACCAGTGCCACACTCATCAGCTGCTTAGCCTTGAGTAATTTTCTGTTTTGGGACTAGTGAAGCTGCACGTTGGAATATGGGCCCCACGTAAGTGGGAATGAGATGGGGTAGGTGAGTTCTGTTCCATCTGGAATGATGGTAGAAGAGACTGCTGGTAGACTTTATTGGACTCTGCATGTCCTGGGCTGGTGTAAACCATTAAGCATTTTTTACTGAAATAAACTTTCTCGCTGAGTGAATCAGTGAGTGTAGTGGTGAACAGCTGTGGGAGTACAAGGTTACTGGGTGGTTTCCCCAGGCACCCAGCCCACGTCAGTCCTGGGCAGTGCCAGCTCCAGCCCTTGGCCACCAGCGCTGCGTGCTGACCCCTCCGGCTAGCCCGTAACTTCTGATGTCAGCATTTTAAATACTGAAACTAAAACCGTGCCCACACCGTTTCGTGCCACTGTGTATAGGAGATGCCCTACGGGACAACTTTTTGCTGTCATCTCGCGGCTCTGGGCCCAAGAACCGTGCCCGCTGTCCGGAGCGATAGCCGCCAGGCCGCTGTGCCTGCCCACGGAAGCTGTGGCTGCCCCATCCCTGCAGGTGTTCAAGGTTGGATGGAGCTCTGGGCAACCCGGTCTGGTGGAGGGTGTCCCTGCCCTCGGCAGGGGGTTTGGAACTGGATGATCTGTAAGGTCTCTTCCAACCCAGGCCAGTCTCCGGCTCTAAGCGCCGCTCCCGGCCCCGCGGGCGGTGCTCCCTTACCGTGACGCCGTACTTGAGGGCGATGCCCTGCAGCGTGTCCCCGGCGCTCAGCCGGTGCTCCACGTA